CCCTTCCCACATCACACACATGTGCAGTGACAAGAAGAACAGAGCCTCGTGTCAGCTGGCGGTCTAATGTGGTGCTGTCACGATGTTTTCCTAACAGGAACAATGGAGTTGGATAAAGATTGAATGTGCCAGAGGCTGTACAGCATGACAGTGTCATCAAGGTCTTCAAGATGCTTGCAGGGAATCTGCATTGCCTTACAGAACAGTGTCAAGGTGGGTAAAAGCCTTCAACAAGGGATGACAAAATGTGGCAGACATGCATCGGTCAGGTCATCCAAGTGTCAGTTAAGAAGAAGTGCATGCTCTTTTCGCGTTACTGGAAAGTGATCGATGCCATACGATTCGTGAGCTGGCCCAAGAGACAGGGTTAGTGCATATGACTGTGCTTCACATTCTAAAGGAACACCTGAGCATGAGAAAAACTGCATCACGATGGGTTCCGCATGATTTGACGGAAATACAGAAATGGCTACGATACAACGCTGCTCATAACCACTTGCAGCGCTATGAGCGCGAAGGAGAGGCTTTCTTACACCATATCATTATGCTGGATGAGACATGGGACAAATGGTACGAGCCACAAATGAAATGCCAATCGAACGAATGGTGTCATTACAGGTCACCACAAAAATCAAAAGTTTGTCAGAACCCCAGCAATGTGAAAGTTATGGTGATTCTTGTTTACAAGTGTGATGGTGTTATCCTAATGCAGACATGTCCAAAGCGTTGATCGCGGGACGATTTTTGGTCGATCTCACAGGCCTATAAGGAAATTATACATGAAAAGCATGTAAATTCACTTGTAATATAATATGTTTATTTATTCAGATTTCGAAGGGAAAATATGTGTTACAGTAGCCTGTACTTTCAATGTATATTGCCTTTACGATAAACATCATGTGTTGTGTTATTTTTACCAATATTTTTGCTTAAAGCGAGGTACAATGACAGGAGGGGGTGATACCTAACTGGCAATTTTGACATTAAGAAGTTGATCGCAACCTGTTTAAAGTTGGACATGCCTGTCCTAACGCATACCGTTCCCTGACAGCAGACTGTCAATGTGCAGTATTATTGTTCATTTTTGGAACACAACCTGCGACCACCCTTGAGAAATAAGCGGCAACACTTTCTGCAGAACTCACCCATCATTTTGCAGGACAATTTTCGGCCACATGCAGCACAAGCTGTGGCTGATTTGTTTGATCGATGGGGCTGGGAAGTGCTGTACCATCCACCTTAGTCCCCGGACTTTAGCCCTTGTGACTTCGATTTGATTCCTAAGATGAAGGAACCACTTTGTGGCATTTGCTTCAGAACTGTTCCAGAGATTCTTCAGGCAGTAGACTGCTCTATTCGAACTGTCAACCCTACAGACGTTGCTAAAGGGATCCTACGACTTCCACACTGCTGGCAATGGGTTGTACACAATGCTGGTGACTACAGTGAAGGGCAGTAAAACTTGAAAACATGCATCTATTTTGTATCAGTTGTAAATAGTTGCCACTATTAAAGTTCCAACCCTCATATTTAATTCAGGTTACATTATGTCATGCATTTATGTCTAACTACGTGTTTGATTCATGTTTGTTGAATATGTTGCTTTCATTTTCTCTGGTGTTGTATCTGCTCTGGTTGGTTCTCTAGCAAATAAACAGTTATACACAAAGGCATGGCATAACATAACCAGAATGACCTATCTAGAAGTGACTAATACAACAAAAGGAAAGCAAAGCAGACTCCTTAAACACACCTTGTACACCTGATAATGTCCAGTTAGGCTGAAACATGTTGTGATATAAAGTAGGAAGAAGAAATATTGAAACCTAGCAGATTTTGAATGAGTTGCACAAGGAAGGATAAAAATCAGAACATTATTCATGTATATATTTTACATTTAAAACAGTCAACAAGATAATACACTGTTGAGTTTCCTTGTTGCTATCTTTCTAATGAACAACAAGTTAGTATACAAATCAAAGACTTGCTCTGCACTTAAATGTATAATATTCATCCCAAGTGACTACTGCTGTTTTACGAAAACTAAACTCATTAAGATTATTGTCTTCTGTGATGTGACATTATTTTATTTAGTTAGTTAGTTAGTTAGCATGGGTTTCCTCATGCACCGCGACCAGTTTGATCTATTGTGCTTCCCTCTATGATATTCTACCAGTCTCTATACCCTACCGATAAATGGTGCGTACCATCAGTCCCGCCGAGCAAGCAAGTTCGGCCACTTGCTTAGTGGTGTCTATAATGCTTCCATCTATCAGAGGCCTTAGAGACTATTGTTGGGCAAGAAACGTCCTGGAATTTGGCTCAGTGATCCCCTTTAGGGATATGAGGTTCTTTTACGTGCCGTAAAGTTACGACACAGGACACACAGCTTAAAGTCCCTCCCGGAGGACTTGTTCCCTGAATTTATCCACCCTTAAAAATGTGACATTATTTAGTATGTTAGATGTTTACCCACATTTCAGTGGAATATATTGCCTCTGCCTTGAGGGTAAAAGAGGAAGCTGAGGAGGGAAATAGTGATATAGATATAGGGAGGGGGATGGTCAGATTAGAGCCCTAAGTATCATGTCAGAGTATATTAGATTAAAGGAATGGCCATACTGACCATTGCAGCATGATCTACTGTGATCTACTGTGCATTCTCTTTCTTAACTAACCATGTAGCAGACCCATGCTTTGAATGAAGTTCAATACTTGGCTTGCTGGGACATTTAGATAGGCACCTAGCTTCATATAATGGAATCACAAGTGACATAGTTTTAAACTAGCTGAAACAGTCATAGAGGGCGTGGATTTCATCTTTGTTATAGTACCTTCTGCAAGTGAAGTTATTTACTAGTCCCAATTATAAGAGATGTCCTTTCACGTGGTAGTAATCCTGTAAGGTAGTCCCATCCCACATATCACCTGGTCCATATTTTGTTCTAAATAGTTTCCTAGCCTTTCTGCACAGGGTCTTCCGTTCATGGCTAAGTGTACTAACTAAAAATGTTGGTAAATATATACTGTGACATGTTGCGCAACGGAGAACCCCTCCCTACACAGCAGCAACGTGGCAACTCAGGCCACAGTGATGTTGCGGATGAGTCAGCGTTCCCCCCCCCCCGCACGGTAACGTAACGCGCAACGCACGGTGATGGTGATGTACAATGGCGTGAGGTAACAGCCTTGCTACGTAACAGACCCATGCAGCCCCTATATAAGAAAGCTGCGCTGCCTGCGAGGAGAGTAGTTGAAATGTGGCCATCGCCGAGTTCAGTAGTAGTCGAGCCAGTGTGTTATCAAGAGTTCTCAAGGCAGCAGCCTGCGAGTTGAGTTGGAATATAGCAGCCGTCGCAGAAAGAAGAACCGGACGTGTGTGTAACTGTGTAATTGGGAGTGTGTGAGACAGAGAGACTTGTATATAGCTCCCGTACTGTGAAACGTGTAGTCTACTGAAGACAATAGCGTGATTTGATTTGCGAATAAGGTTATAAATTGTGAAACCCCGCAATATCATTATAATTAATTGTAGCCATTACTTGTAGGTTGTTGAATAAACCAATTAACAATTTCTACGGCGTATTCAGTAACGAAACACGTTACACTATCAAACTAAAAAAGCAAAATATCCCATAAGACAGCAATCTTGATAGTAATCTCTAAGAGAACCTAAAAACTTGCATAAATACATTAAGCTGCTCTTTGCCTTCCATTACAGTGCATGACATCAGTCAAGCTGTGTTCCCACAGGTGAAATATTAGTTTGTTTTAATACATTATTTTTTATTTAATAATACAATTTCTAATCAATTCATAAAAGTACTTTGTCTAAAGCAGCTTTAGTGACTATTAGAATAAAATAATAACATATTTATCACAAAGCTTTACAACAATTTTTTTAGAGTACACTTGAAAACAAATGAAAACACCCTTCTCATAAGTATGTATATTCACAGAAAACAGCAGGTACTGATTAAAGGACCATTCCTACACCTTTCTGCTTCTTTCCTTCCTCTGAGCACTTTCAAAATGTTACTATTGTTATCACCATTGTTACTGTCACTGTTGTTGTTAATGTTGTTATCACTGTCATAGTAGTAGTAGTAGTAGTAGTAGTAGTAGTAGTAGTAGTAATCTGAAATAGCTTAAAAAAATCTGTGACTACATATAAAATATAGGAATAATGACTTCTTAAAATTTGTAATACACCAAATGAGTGACAAGACAAATGGACTGATATTTTCAAACTTGCTACTAAACTAATGATACTAATTACCTAAATGACTTTCTTTAGTAAGTATATTGTAATAGATTTGATCAAAGCATTGCCAGTAACAGATCAGTAAACACTTCTCAACATGTGACAATATAGGGGAACTGTATTTTCTATGTGATCTACCCCAAGCAACAATAGAACAATGGGGTTATGCAATCTGTTTCTAGGCAATGGCTTGGTAAACACATTTCCACATATCAGACTGTGCTATGCAACGTGGTGACATGATCAACAATACCGACTGTGTTTTCTGTGGGTTCTGTGCAGATTCCTTATAAGAAGTGCATTCAGAAGCAAGTTAATTCAGGGCAGTTGCGAGTCAGTTGCTGGTAGGATATAGCCATGGGAAGTTTGAAGTGAAGAAGAATTAGAAGTCAGCCAGTGAGGACTTAACGTGTGATTTGAAGACTTCATGTGTGCTGTAGTGCAGTGGTATCTGGAGTGTGACAGTTATAGTCCCTGTGTTAAAATCTGTTGCCAGGAAACGGATAGGGAAAACTTTGCAGAGGAATAGCCATAGTTTAGATCTGTTACCTGGTAATGATTAGTTAAAGCTGACATAGAAGACTTTATTTATGTGTTATAATTACAGTAATCTTGAATGTGTTATAATTATTTGTAGTTACGACTAGTGAATATCCGATAAATCGATCCGCCAATTCAAACCCACATCTAAAGTCACTAATATATGTGAGAATATGACTCTATAGCTGGGTCTAACCTTGAGGTCGCACGTTGTGTTTAGTAACAGGTTGCTGGGCTTCAGGTCCCGGTGTAACACATTGGCTGAATGGATGTATTTCAATCCCCGTAGGATTTGGTACAAAAAGTAACAGATGTGGTCATTGCTTAGTTTCTGAAAATTTAAAAATAAATAAATTAATTCACTACTGGTTGTGATATTATGTTTATAATTTTTTCAAACAGTGAAATCCTTGGATCATACTGAAGTGTCAAAAGATAAATCCTGAAAAAGAGAAATAGCACCTTCCAAAGTGGAGACTCTATAAACAGTAAAAGAAACAAAGAAGGCTTTATGAATTGCAATCGTATGGGTGCATAATTCATTTATGCTCACAGTATATGGCTTGTCATCAATTTGGGTACATACACATGGAAGCTAGAATCATACAGATCACAAAAATGAACCAATCCTGCTATTGACATCAGGCCATTAAATTATATAGGGTGATTATCTCTCTATGAAACTCAAACATTCGTCAATAACTTTTCAATTTTTCTATGGTTCCCTATGAAAATTGACATGTACTTACCTCGTATGTTGCAAAACAAGGTCTGCCTAGAGCACATGCAGAAAACCCTCCAACAACCAAGCACTTTTGTATGCAAGTCTGCAAAATAGCGAAGACATCTGGTAATGTGCCATTGGTAATGGCAGCAACCTCCTGCTGTGTTGCATCTTTGAAGGTGTCAATTGTTAGTAGTTTATTGCTGTATGCATGGTCCTTCAGTAAACCACACAAGAAATCAGGTGGTGCCAGATCTGGTGATATTGGCGGCCACAGATTTCTCAAAATTAATCTGTCACCGTAATAACTTTCAGTTTCCCTCTTGCTTGCATTAGATGTGTGGCACATTGGGCCATCTTGTTGAAAGTAAGCTTCAACAGACGTAAGCTATGTCCATGTCAATTTTCATCAGAAGCCATAACAAAAATTAAAGTTACTGAGGAATGTTTGGGTGTTTTAGTGAGAGAATCACCCTGTAAAACTGCTCACAAAACCTCTTAAGAATAAAAAGAGTCTTTAACTACTCAAAAGTTGGAAACTTATATAACTGAAGTGAGTGTAACAGATAACTTGCAGCTTTTTAGATGACATCATCATCATCATCATCAGTAATCTGTCAAGATGACAGGTCCACAGTCTCTTTCAAAACAATTCCTCCACTTAATGCGATCTAGAGCTTTCTCCTTCAAATGACAGTACCCTCTTCTGTCCCCAAGGTCATCCAGCATCTTCTTACGTCTTCTTCCTCGTCTTCTTGTCACTTCTATCCGCCCATCTATCTTTCCTTCGATAGCTTCTTTTAGAAGGCAGTTTCTGCGTAAAACATGACCAATCCAATTAGCCTTCCGTTTTCTNAGATAACTTGCAGCTTTTTAGATGACATGTCACTGATTATCTGAAACTGCTTCATTCATCAGTTGGCCTCAATGTTTATGGCATATTATGAGATGCTAATCATCAGGGCAGCGAAAGAAGACAGTAATTTAAGATGGATTGTTTTGCTTTACACTTTAGAATATTTTGGCAAATGCCCCAACAGGTGGAGACACAAGTAAATGCATTTCTGTAATTAAAAGTATAGGTATTCAGATTTCTTCTATTATGTCAACTTCTAACAATATATAAAATTGCATTTCTGCTGTTTCTATGCAAAATGGGAAGACACTATTGGTCTGTTTCACCTCTAGAGCAACAGATTCTGATGAAACTTTTTATAAGACTTATCAGAATAATTTCATTTGGTTCATATAAATTAAACATACAGCTTAAATTGAATACTGATTCTGTCGTAAAACATATAAACATATCACATATACATTTTAAACAAATGAGAACACAAAGTTAGGGATTTTATGAAAATCTAACTATACCATGAAGTACAGCCATTCTTGTGAAGTTAATAGTCACTCAGCTGATCAAGAAATTACCTAGCCATTACACAAATTAGAATTCATTACTGTGTTAAGCTTATACCACATCTTAATATTATCTTCTCCTCTATGTCTAGGTCTGTCAAGTGGCCCCTTGCATTCATGCTTTCTGACTGAAGTTCTGTAGCCATCTGAAACCAATATCATGCAAGCTATGTGCCACATCCAGCTGATCCTCATGGATTTTGATGATGAAATCAAATGTATTTGTCCTGTTACAAAATCTGCATCAGCAATAAATGCACATCAGGGACTATGCGTAATTGTACTATAAAACCGAAAAGAACACTATTACTGACATCCTGGACATTATCAATTGACTATTTTCTTTATTTAAAACGTTTCAGAGACTGAATTCTGCCTTCATCTTTACATAAAATGTCCATTCAATTGGGCCCAATCTACACAGCAAGTCCTTATCTCCAGTGGATTTCTACCAGTGGATGGAAGCACAGTCCAGTCTCTGAAACACTGTTTTAAATAATAAAATAAAATAATAAAAAAAATATATACTAATATTTGTTACGATTTTTAATTCTAATTTGCAGAGAACATATTTAAAAAAATCTGTACTCCAAATTGCAGCATATTCTATACACATCCTGTGTACTGTACGATAATGAGACAAAGTCACAACCAATGAAATGAATGTAAATCTGTTTATTAAACAAACCATGAAGTCATATATGTACAAATTTATCACAGTGTTGTAACACTTTGCGGACCAGTGATTTAAGTATTTAAATCACCCTGGGGACCGGCATTTTTAAACATACTACCCTAACTTGTGCACTGTTCACTTTAAAAATTAATATAAAATCTCCTAATTAATTTTTCAAACTAAAATATTTGGAGAACACTTACCAATGCTCCTAGAAGTGCTTGAGGTTGTGACATTTCTGGAAACAATCCGCTTTGTGAAGTGGCATTACACAGAAGTTGCAAATGTAGACATACTCCCGTTTTTGTGAACTGTGCAAACAATGCATTGCCTAGAAGGATTCTTCCCCTTGGAATGTTCACTCTTCACAATTTTCATGAGGGTATATTTCCGCGTATCATTCAAGAGTNAACTTTTACTGTCTGTGGACACAATTCTTTGTTGTCCTGCGTCAGTCGCTGTTTGAATGACAATCCATTACTACCTGTCTCACAAGGCAGGTCAGCTAGGTCATTGGAGGAAAATGTCCTTGATCCATTATCCCAACTAGCTACTGGCTGATACACACAGCTTGATGAAGGCAAAGCATTTTCCTTTATAGTCGGTTAAGTAAACAGCGAGGTCAAGTTACTGACTGCTAACTAAACATTCCAGAGTCTTATCACGCACCTGCAGGCGGTTGCGTGCAATGTAGGTGGCACCAGAGCGATGTATAGTGTGTTGCAACTTATTGTGATCTAAAAATGTATTAATACACAACCGGCTTGTCACGTTTAAAAGCAAAAAACATATTAATGTGTGCGCAGTCCACAAAGTGTTAAATTGTAATATCCGCATACTCAGAGCAACAGGACCCTTTATAGGTATATCAGAATTCAAAGAGATTGAGTATGTTTCATGGTTACCTTATAAGCCCTCAATTAAAACATTACAGTGGCAACTGCTGCAGGTCAGTGTTGGCAACATCACAGTCAAATGACTAAAACATCCCAGCATGCTTAAAAAGGAACCCTGATATTGTACCTGGTTACTTGCCTGTGTCTTTAAGAGTTTGTACAGATCTGTTTCCATCAAACATTGTACAATATACACATCCTTCATGTGATCAATGGTTACAGCACGAAGAATGTCTCTGATATCTATTATCTGCATAAAAGAGAAAAATAAATAACAGTAAAAAAAAACATAAGACAATACAATTATATATATATATATATATATATATATCGTTATATTCTGAAGTTTAAGCAAACTCTGTAAAATGTAACAGCCATCGGTGCAAAAGAATTTGTATTACATTAATTTAAAATGAAAAAAAATCTTATTATACTTTCAAATTACTCCTTTCTTTGAAAATCACAATTTTAACAGAAGCTACTGGAAAGTCTTAGTTCTTTAAAGTGATATTTTAGTCAAATAAATGATTCTCATTATGTTAAACTTTAACTCCATGTCTCCTTGGTGTTACCAGTAGAAACTGGACACAGGTTCAGAGTTCAAATTGGTTCATGTTTTAACAACACTGTAGCAACTGCAAAAAGAGAAAGGATGCTTATGTAAACTATCAATAGACAGAGGAGGAAAGAGTCATGGCCTCTTTTAAAGTAGGCCTATTGTCCTGGCATAATTGATTTGTGGCAGGGAATAAAGCCATACAGGTCCAACCTACTAAACACAAATCGTGCTGACTAGTGTTGGGCTGACCTTTGTGGAGGATGTGTGCTTAAAGGCAGAAATTTCATTTTGATTACTTCACCAGACAACATACTGTACATGGAGATGGCAGTTACATGAAACATTTAAACCAAAAAAGTAAGTTACATGACACTCTTCTTTCTTTGGATACATAACAATATGAATATTTTAATACACGCTGGTGACCTAGAGGCTTACCACATTATAGGACACCATTTCAACTCCCTAAAACAGGGACTCTCAAAATACTTCTGCCACTATACAAGCGAACTAACTCAATGGGTTTCAAAAAGTGAACAACTGAAGATGATGAACTAAAGCCAAAACATGTAGCAATTACGTGATTTTAATGTTATTTTACATTAAAGAGAGATTGTGAACATTTTTAAGTTGCATTAAAAGCAGAGGTGAATGAGCAAGTGATATAACTGTCCTTGTTGCGAAGCGAAGAGTCTCAGCTAGACTAGAACAGAAGATTCAATATTACATTCACAAGAGGCTGCCAAGTCTGAAGCCTTGTGTAACATTCCTTTATAGTGAGATGTTAGCTTCCACTGAAATCCCAAGGTGATCCTCTGTTGGCAATCCAAGACTGCTTATTCAACATAATCACAGCTACCCCAGCAACTTGAGTCTGACTCCTTCATCAAGAATTTAAGAATGCACCATGCCAAGGAAACAAAGGAGCCACTTAACATACACAGTATTAGTCACATTTCTATAGTACTTGTGCACTTTATTTTCCACAATTTAATAAAAAAGGTCACAGCCATAACTAATGCATATATATGAGAAGGCAGTGTTGTAGCCTCCTTAATATGCTTACTTGAGTGTATGAGGAAAGGTATAAAATATTCAGAATTAAGAACTGATCTACAATTAAGATTAAGTGTGAAAGCAAATATATTTTTATTTTTGTTAATTGCTAGTGGGGTGGGGCTAGGTCCCTTGTACTGTGGCCACTTCTGGCCTATTGTACCAGCCCCAGATGATAGATGAGGGTGATTGTGGAGCAATTGGTGGAATGAAGATTGACAGGGGAAACCGAAGTACTTGGAGAAAACCTGCCCCAGCGCCACTTTGTCCACCACAAATCCCACTTGACCAGACCCGGGATCAAAGCAAATATATAATTCTATATCATGAGATAACTCAGTCACTGATTCAGTGATAATGCTGTGTACAAAATGACGTTAAGTTTGATGGACAAAACAGGAAAAAACAATTGTATTTGTTATCCTACATTGTTTATTTTTATAAAATTGGTATGATATCTTTAATCTTCTTTGTTACCTTCAGAATGATATGAATGCATAATCAAATGAAACTGAAATCTTGTCACTGTAATACACCAAATGATTTTCACGTAAGACACTAAGCCTTTAGTCTCCCATTTTCCATAGATATATTGTATCCATATACTGACTGCAATTCCTTAGAATACAGGTCAAACAAATAAAGCATATAATGATGATTCTTCAAGGGCACAGGCCATTGGTCTGTTTCTGACTTCAAGGGAACATGTCCTCCAATTGGTCCCCCGATATCACGATGTCCTCTGGGTTTGTAATTTAGTAATATCTTTGGGAGTCTATCTGTTGTTATTCATAAATTATGTTTGTGCTAGTTTTTCCTTTTGCTTTCTATGCTCTCGGTTACATTGTAAAGACTAAGACTAAAAGACTAAAGACTAAAGGTCTATGTTTAATGGCTTCTTTGAGTGTCCAGGTTTCACAGGCATAGGTTACTGTTGGTCGAATTACCATCTGATATAATCTTAAATTGGCTGTTTTAGAAATAAGTTTGCTTTTGAACAGTGTTAAATGTGCAGCATATGCTTTATTTCCAATTGCTAATCTCTCTTTAATCTCTTGTTAGATTGTGTTATCTGAATTAACTATAGATCCTAAATATTTATAATGGAAACCTGGTCTATATTTATGTCACTGCATCTGAGATCTTGAATTATTTGAGGTTTGTTAGAACAGTGTAAGGATTTAGCTTTTTGTTCATTAAAAAAACATGTAAACAAATACATATACAGCAGACCTTCATTCTAATGAATAAGAGGGTGGACATTGTGTCCGTTATTGCTGACGTCTGCTATAAACAAATGTAGGGGTCACAGAAATAAACCACACGATAAGTAGCCAATACATGCAATAAACATGGAAACACATAATGTGATTATACAAATGTTTTTATGTTGGGATTCTTTCAATTTTAAATAGTTTTCTGACTATAGAACCTTCTCAGCACCTCAACATCCCTAAAAATTCACAATTGTGTACAGTCAGATTTTATCATTTATATCTGGGTCCATTATAAAATTGTGTTATGTGAGGTGCTCATACTCACATTTTCATGCTTGAACCTGGTAAGAATTTTAATCTCCCTCAGTGTTCTCTGGCAATAAGTCTGATGTTCAAATGGAGATATTTTCTTGATTGCTACTTTGGTCTTTGTTACATTGTCATAAGCAGATCTGAAAATAAAAACACAATAGAACTAAATTATACATGTTTTCACACTTTTAAGATCTCAATGATTACAATAATAATTTCCTTGTAAAATGAAATTACTCTTATTAGCTTACTAAGTTATGTTTTTAGCGGCCTCCGTAGTCTAGAGGTAACGTTCCCACCTCATGACTCGTAGTACGTGGGTTCAAATACCCGGCAGAGGTCGTCGAATTTTTAAGGGCGGAAAAATTCAGGGAACAAGTCCTCCGGGAGGGACTTTAAGCTGTGTGTCTCGTGTCGTAACTTTACGGCACGTAAAAGAACCTCATATCCCCAAAGGGGATCACTGAGCCAAATTCCTGGATGTTTCCCGCCCAACAATAGTCTCTAAGGCCTCTGATAGATGGGGGAAGCATTATAGACACCACTAAGCAAGTTGCCGAACTCGCTTGCTCGGCGGGACTGATGGTACGCACCATTTATCGGTAGGGTATAGAGACTGGTAGAATATCATAGAGGGAAGCACAATAGATCAAACTGGTCGCGGTGCATGGGGAAACCCACCTCTCTAAATAACTAACTAAGTTATGTTTTAACAACACAACTTTTCAGTCGATTTCAGTTTTCAACATAGAAGAAATTAAATACATGGCCCCAGCTCTAAACTGCTCATACTTAACCACCTATAATCAGTAATTTATCAAATATTATTAAACAATATACCAATTATATTTATCACAATGGAGCTGAAGTATAGAATACCATGGGGAGATATGAGGTTCTCAAGGCAGTGATATGAAGATTACTGTCTCTGGATGATTTGAACATAGAGACAGAGGCAGCAGTTTACTCAAAAATGTTAGTAACCTTCTATAAAACAATTTGGCTTCACATCCCAAAAGACATAATTCTCACATCTTGTCATGTTGCCTCGAATTTGACAATAAATTCCATAGAAAAGAATGAACCGTACCTTGTGAATCAAATTAAATTAAATTTGAAAATCACAGTAAAGTCCAAACAACTTTAACTCTGTAAGTTTTGAGGTTTTCACGGCGATGACTATGAAGAAAGTCGTCTTCTGGGTTTTGGCGCCGTGTATTCTTCGTTTTGGCTGACGTTTCGGAGGAACATCAGCCAAAACGAAGAATACATGGCGCCAAAACCCAGAAGACGACTTTCTTCAACTTTAACTCTATTTACATCATGAAAGGGCTGAGCCATAGCTCAAGCGGTTAGTCGCTGGCTTCCTACCGCGGCGGTCCTGGTTCGATCCCGGGTCTCGTCAAGTGGGATTTGTGGTGGACAAAGTGGCGCTGGGGCAGGTTTTCTCCGAGTACTTCGGTTTCCCCTGCCAATCTTCATTCCACCAATTGCTCCACAATCACCCTCACCTATCATCTGGGGCTGGTACAACAGGCCAGAAGTGGCCGCAGTACATAGGACTTAGTCCCAACCCACTAGCAATAAAAAAATACATCATGAAAATTTCCTTTACACTTTGACAAAACGAATTTATGAATAAATATCAAACATATTTTTAACAACAAAATATCACCTCTCATCTTCCTTAAAATGGAAAGATGGGATAGATTTAAGTATATCATTATTTTCATGAAAATTATGAGAATGACAAAAATTCAATTCAGTTCTTTATTTATTAACATGCTTACCCAAAAGCCCAAAGGTCAATTTCAAAGCAAACACAAAGAGAGACAGAAAAAAACACATATATACAAATAAAAAACAAAACGAGACAACTCTTGTCATTTCACCTATAGCAATTCAATCTGTCAAATCGTGCCAACATGATGTGAGAAAGAAAAAAAATATTAATCGGGAATACTAATAATATTTCAATAATTAAGAAAGTACCATTATTAAATATGAATATTAGAAAGAGTTTTAGTTAAAAATATGTCAATGTCACTGCAAACAACTCTAGCAGCTGAACTGTATCTAGCAGAAGGTCAATTTTTACTTGAAGAGCAGGCACTGAACAAAAAATATCTCTGATATACAGACAAGGAACTTGAAGACCAACAGTTTCCAAAAGAGAATGACAGAATTTAGAACGAACATAAACTTAAATAAGGAACAGTTCATCAAGGTGATACCTCCTCATAGGTAAGGTGGGTAAGTTTAAAATTTCTAAAGTAATAACTGTATTGTACATGGGTTTGTTGTTTGTTTGCTTCTTTGACATTTAAGGAGGCTGTTAATATCATGACTATATAGTATCGGTGGCAGGATGACTTAAATGGATAAGAAATTGGTGGAATGAGAATTGCCAAGGAAAAGTACTTGGAGAAAACCTGCCCCGTTGCCACTCTGTCCATCAAAAATTCAGACATTATGAAAGTCTTCAGTTTAATTTGTACTATCACTTTTGATTTGATTTGGTTTTAACAAAATCTATTTTAAACCACACGGGTAAATAGACTAATCGTAATAATATATATGTTCAATATAGCCATACACATCGCTGTAGTTGTTAACGGATCAGATTTTATTCATGATATTGTATGTATATAGTGATATTGACCAAACACATTGTAAAAGTAGTCTCTGCCCATATTGATATATCTTTCTGAAGATGTTCTCTAAGACCGAAACATGTCAAGGATAAAAGATTAAAAAGAAAAGAAAGAAAAAACATTTTCTTAGTCACACTGGACAGAGTTGATTAACCTTTGCACTATCACCTTTCCATCTCTACCTTAGAGAGATACTGACCTTGAACATCACATCTGAATATAAATATTACTGACTCCCATAAATTGGAGCATATGCAAAGAAAAATTCCAGTCATGTTCAGCATAACTATATGAGTTGTACCTAGAAAGTTTAAATCTCCAAGCACTATATACCCGACTTTGAGGTTCTGTTTTTAACTATCATCTATAGTGGTACTACATTTGTCCCTTATTCTAGAAATAGTGGGAGTTCGTGTTCCCAGCACGAATCATACATAACTTCTCTGTGTTCAGTTGCTCCTACAGTTAGATGAGCTTCTGCTGCTAATGTAGTTTGTAAATCTATGGATATTTTTAAAATGTACATTTTAACGGCAGTGATATTAATTGGTATTAGTTGCTTTGTATTCGTGCTGACGCTGTAAACGGCTCTAGGCTGTTGTGTTAGCTCATAAATACAGACTGTATATCATCACCAGCAGCAGTATGCTTTTCTCTTGTTTCTGCCATCCCTATTGTACTATAATCCAGTTCTGGTATATATTCATATAAAACCTGCTCTAAAAATAACCTGCCAGTAATACTACGACACAGGAAATGTTAAAGTAAAATATCTAACTTATCTACAACTGACTGGATGCTTGGAGAGACCGATAGGCAGGCAGAATAATATGGAGAAATGAGTAAACTGACTGAAAGAAAAGAAAAACAGAAATAAAAAGAATAATTGGTTATGTAGGTGGAATAACGAATAGAGAATGCAACTCTCACTTCCTTCACAATAGAAACATGCAAAACTGCATTTTCCGCCATACTTTATAAACACGTTTAAGTGCCGTAACAAAGGACTGCTGGTAAGCGGCAGAACTTTTAACATCATGAAGTACCTACAATTTCCCAACTGGACACAGAAGCAGATAGAAAGAGACAGAGACAAGGTGTGTTTAGTATTGTGTGCGTGCAAGCAAATGAGAGAGATGAATACAGGCCGTCAAAAAATACTACTTCACGTCGAACGTTTTTGTTTTGCTCTGTAATTATTTCCCAGCAAGTTTGTGAGCTACTCTTCGAAAAGCATAGTTAAATAACATGTATACGGCCTACATACTATTATTCCGGGCCATTAGTCACAGAGGTCAAAACGTAAGTAACCAAAACAGAAAGCTACACAAAGCACAGGTTTCACTTTCTGAAACAACTTTAAGCAATCTTGATTTTTAGCTCATACGAGTATTTCTGTTTTTTTTTTTTACTGATGACTTGACTTTACAAAAACCCTTAATCCTTTAAGTAAATAATATAATTCAATGTAAAAGCCTCATTTGTGCTACTCTACTTAGCTACACAAGCAAACTTTCTCGAAGTACGAGCGATGCCCTATTCGTAGAACCAGTTTCAATAACCGTCGGTTTCATGCCTCAGGTACTTCATTCGTGGACTGACACCGACAACTGTTTGTTTATTTACAGAATTCGCAGGTACACAACCATAAAAGCGTGACAGGAAGTCTTAGTGTCAGTACACCATCACACTGACCGATCGTTCTCCCAGGTGTACGAGATTTTCCTCCACGAGTAACTGCCTGTATTAAGAAAGCAGTCTTCTGGGATTTGGCACAGTGTATATGTGGTGTTAACCGACGTTTCGGTTCTCACGGTCTCTTCGCTTGCGGATTTCTTATATTTTTCCTTCTACCTTGAAGATGGAGGCGATACGTTCCTCCGAAACGTCGGTTAACACCACATATACACGGTGCCAAATCCCAGAAGACTGCTTTCTTCATAGTCACCGCCGTGAAAGCCTCAAATCTTACAACTGCCTGTATTCTTATAAAATGTTATTGTTTGTTACTTTTTTTGTATAAAGGCATACAATATAGTTTATAAGATATATAATGTGTAATGGGGGCAGTCTACACAACAATATTCCTGATAAATAAAACAGACACTCTTGTATCAACATCTGTTTTATTTTGCTGTTGACGCTACATGTTTCTGCCGTTATATTGGGTCATCATCAGGCGTACAATGACACTAGTCCTAGTTTACAGTTTACATACGTACTACTGGCAGCCCCAGATAACAAGACGATGAAAGTTAAGAGTCAGTCGGCCCCAGTCATGAAAGAGTAAAATAAGGCAATGAGTGACGCGGGATTCAGAACCATGAATGACTGCGCTGGCGCGAGTAAGCAGCAATTTACCCGACGGATCGACCCATTTTAATGTAGTATATAACCTAGACATACCAAGAAGGGATAAGGTAGCTAAGTGAATGAGGTTATGGAATAACAAGAAACAAATTCAGACTCTTGCCCGAAAATATTTT